TATATACTTATAAATTTTATTATTTTTATAATAAAATTATATTATGCATCTATTTATAGGATAACAATATGAAATATCAAATGATATCATGAACATGACTATTAATATAATTTAAGAGTTATGATCAAGTCATGAAACTAAGACAAATAAAGACAATTAAATATCAAATGATAACATAATTATTAATATAATTTAAGAGCTATGATCATCAAAAGTCATGAAAATAAAGACAATTAAAATTTTCTATTAAAAATATAAATAAATGAAGGAGTAGTAATTGATATATTCATTTTTTGTACAATAATAAGAAATATATAAATAGGAAAAATTGTCAAAAAAATGAGAAGAAAAAAAAAATGTCATATCACTTTTCTTTTTTCTAGATAATTTATATGTTGGTAAAGAAAGTAGATTGAGAGAGACAAACAATTTTATTAATTCGTTTTTATCCTAACCAAATACTTTTGCATTTTGAGTTCGAATCCAACAGATCATAGTAGTAATCTCTGAAAATTTCAAAAAATTAAGAACTTCTAACAATAATAATAAATAAATAAATTATGAAGATCACAAAGTTATGTATTTATAGTCAGTTTTTCTATGAATTAAACTATATTTTGAAAATTAATTAATTTTACATTCTCATGTTCTATCATTATAATTAATAAAAAGGTGATCCACATAACTATAATATTATAGCTACATACTTTCTTGAGTAGGATACATGAAAATATGTAGACCTGGAAACACGGTAAGTTAACCTTAAACAACAAAAAGAAAACATAAAAATAAAGTTAACTAATCAAGTAAAAACCTTAAAGAATATTTAGTTATGAGTTAAAAAGGAAAGAAGGAACCTACAAAGAGAAGCAAAGAGAAAAAATCAAATCATTTTTTCTAAAAGAAAACTCATGATTCGTATAATCAAGAATCCAAAAAATAATAAAATATATAATTACAATAGAAAAAAGTGGTAATTAAATTATGCATATCAAATCATTTTACCTTGTAAAATAAAACTATGCTAAAATGTCTAATATTCTTCATTATAGATCTGTTTCCTGCAAAATCAAGTCAAAGAAGACAAAAAAACTTAACCAACCAAAGACGCAAAAGATGAAGAATAAGAAAAGTAAAATAAAATAATCATCATATATGTCTCAAAATAGTTTTTATAAGTGTGATTTTGAAGAGTTATAAATTTATAAATTAAATAATTTGAAGGTTATGAATATGAAAGGTTAGGAGTTATAGATATTACTAAATTAATTATATAATTGAAGAGGTATGAATTAAAGAGACAATTTTATTAAATAAAATAATTGAAAAATTAGAAAAATGTCAAGAAAAAAGATAAATAGAATCCTTGGCCATTGAGAGGTGCCACATCACTTTTTTTTTATCTAGCATTATATATATATATAGAGAGAGAGAGAGAGAGATTTCATGAAGATTCATATTCAAGAATATATTTTCTCTTCTTCATTATATTAGTTTGTGAATTAACTAACATGTAACAAAAAAGAAGTACATGAAGGTAAGAAATATTTTATTTCATAATTATGATTTTTTATTCAATTGGTTAGCATATGATAAAGAGTTTGATATATGGAGCAGAATATGGTGACAGATCTACTTGCAAATGAAGATGGTAGAAGAATTTTTTTTAAAAGCATAATCAGTGATTAATTTTTTACTTTGAGTTGTATTAGTAACTTAGCTATTTTTGTTAAGATTTTCTAATACTTAATTTGTATAAATAATATAGCTACATGTATTGACAATGCTACTCATTTAGTTCTTTACTATTCTACTATTTTTTGTTATGAAACATAGTTAATATAATTATCTGAATGCAACAAAAAGAAATTATGATAATCAGGAGCTTCATTTGTATTATGCTTGCAAAAAGATAAAATTAAAAAATAAATAATTCTATGATGTCATTTTCTTTGGTATGTAACACTATTTTTTTGTCACTATTTTTTTATGAAATATGTTTACAATTTTTATGTAGTCACCAATTATTTTAATTTTTAATTCATTTTTGTATTTTCACATTTATTTATTTATTTTTACAAATAAAACCAATGTATAAATATTAATACATTTAGTGTCTAACAAAATTCATAACTCATGTCTTTTCATTTTACTTGTAACTTCTATTCTTAAATATTATTCATAATTTTTGTATGTTTCATTTCATAATATTTATAACTATTAAATTATGTTAAAAAATTATGATGGACAAATGTAATAATAAAGACACAACGAAATCATAATTTGTTTAGAGAATCAATACTTCTATAAAAGATAGAGAAAATGAAAACATAAAAAATATTTTCAACGTAATACAATATATTGTTATTTCAAAATATGATCTTTTGTTCAATTTACTTCGCCATGGTAAATGTTTAATTCTACTATGTACTTATGAATAGTTTACACTTAAAAAAATGCATTTTTAAAAATATATTTTACTATATGTTTTAAAAAAATGAGAAAATCTATCCTGTCGCAAATGAAGAGAAATATCAGCATTGTCTATATATCTAATACTACCTGAATATAAATATTATTGAGTAACTTTCACATTTAGCAAACATAAAAATCATATTTGTATGCTATAGTTATGGTTTGCATAATTGCGCTCCATATCAAACTTTATGTTTGCTATAGAGCATCAGATTGTATAAATCGTTGGGGGAATCAGATTTGTATAAAATCGCTAGCAGCCTCTCATTTGTATAAATCGCTAGCAGCCTCTCGTTTGTATAAATCACTGACAACCTCTCAATTCAATTTTATGTGTTTGTATATCTGCATAAAATTTGAATTTGTATACAATTGAATCGAAATAAAACGTTTGTATATCAAATATTTCTCTCTCGCTTTATATAAACACAAATTATACATTGTATTTTGTATCATTTGTGTTTGTATAAAGCGAGAAAGAGAGAAAGGCAAAAGAGAACTGGGCAGAGAAATATTTGTATTGTATAATTATAAGTGTATAAGACGAAGATATATGTATTTGCATGTGTATATACAATTTTCTCTTGCTTTATACAAACAGAAACACAATTTATACATTTATGTTTGTATAAAGTGAGAGAGGCGAGGAAGAGACTGGCGAGTGAGAGAGGGAGAGTGGCGAGCGAGAATTTCAGGGAGAGAGGCGAATAACAACAATTTGCTATGAGTTACAATTAAATTCAAACTGTGGTTATAATATTTAATTTGAATTAATAATTTGCTATTACATACAATTTTTCCAATATTATATACTACAATTTCACTAGTCTCCAGGGCCCCGTGGAACTAACCGTGGTGAACCCGCCTTGAAACAAGCGGGACCCGGTGGGTACAGCTAGTCGGGTTCGCAAAGCGATACCCGGAAACGACGGTATAAAAAAAAAAGTCTTTAATTAAGTTTAAGATTGCCCCATTAACAATTCAATGGCTTGTACATTTGACAAGTTTCTGCACTGCAGTGTCTCTACGTGGAGCCTTTCCCTGATATTCATACTCCACTCTCTCTATTGAGCTTCAAAATAGTTGCGAGCAAATCGTTGACAATGTATCGATCGGCAGCAAAGCGGTTACTGCCGGCGTTTTACCGCCGGCACCAGGATGCAATATCAAGTATTCGAACCCTAGCAGCAGACTACCCCACTCGATTTATGACTTCAGCTGCCACCGGAAATATTCCTGATCAGAACCCTATTCCGACTAGCTCTAATCCGACCGACTCTACCGCATCATCATCTTGGAAGGAAGAAGAAAGGACACGTTACCAGGAAACTGATGAAAAATCTAGCTCGAGAACAAAGCGGCCTAAAGCACATTACAAGGACGAAGAGGCCCGTGTACTCAGTGCCTCTCTCTCTCATGTGGTTTGTTACATTTACTTTCTCTCTGTTTTCTTGTGCAGATATTAAATTTTGGACTATATGTGTAGATTAATGCGTTGTGTCTTATGTAATTTTGATTGAATTCGTTTGTTGACTTGGTGAAATTGGCTGCATAAATTGATTACTTGACCTTAGAATTTGTTGAACATGCTGGTGTATTTCTCCCAGAAGAAATGGGATTGGCACCTTTATGCCTTGTGATTCTATTGTGAAACCTCTTTGGCATAGAAGTAATTTCTGGCAAGTACAGTACATTCAGTAATCCAATTGGAAAAGATAAAAAGGTAAATTATGAAAAAGTACTTCATTTAATAGAGCTTTCCTGATGAAAGGAAGATTATGCCTTGTAATATAAGGTTCACCTTATATACATGCCCAAAATAAAATTTAACTCTGATATGTGGACGATATATGTTTGGTATGGAGGAAGATGCTTTCCTAAAGTATTTCTAGAAAATATGTTTTTACTTTGAGAAATCATTTTCTTGAGGGTTTTCCTCTGTTTGATTGGGTATGAAGGCCGGTGACTGCCAAGTGTATGGTAAAGAAGAGTACTTGTAAAGGGAATCGACTTCCCAACAAGTGAAGGAAGTCATTTCTCCCTTTTGGTGGAAATATTTTCATTGGAGATAACATTTTTCACAATTAAGGCAACCAAACACTGATAGGATTTCATCAAGGAAAATTCTTTCCTAAAAACATATTCTGACATACAACCACACATTTTCTATCCCTTTGTATAAATCAGGCTTGTAATTGGTGCTGGGTAACTTGTTTGCAGCTTCGGCTAGGATGGACTGAAACAGCCATGATTACAGGTGCAAGGGATGTCGGAGTGTCACCTTCCATTGTTGGATCATTTCCTCGGAAAGAAGCTGCACTAGTGGAGGTAAATGATGGTTCACCTACATTACTCATAGTTCTGGTTTCTTTAATGTGACTGGATTTTGTGGGCATTATAGGGCTTCAACATATTTGGTTTTGCTAAAAATGTTGATATAAGATTATCTGCCTCTCAGTTTTGTTTATCTTTTCTTTTGGTTTTCCTCTTTATCTATCTGCACTTAATTTGTCTGGTATGAGTGCAACTCAAAGGAACTCCATTGAGGTAAATTATGCAAAGTCAAAAAAGTAATAGTCGGGTTTCCGTAATAAAAGGATTTTTAATTATTTTGGTAAAGTAAAAGGATTATTAATGATATATCCTTGAGAGCTTATAAGTTATAAGTATATAGTTTACATAGCCATTCATTATGTGCTCTCTTTGATGACCATACCAAATAATGAGCTAAATCCTAAGATATTGCTGATTTGTTTAGCATTTGCAAGAAGGCATAAAAAGCTAGATGTTTTGGTCTCTGACTTTGTTTTTAATGCACATTAATTACGTTTGGCAAGGTTCTTAATGCTCATTCAGCTGTCAAGCTTCGTCTTTTCTTGAATCATATACAACATTGGTTTCAGACTTATACTGGCTTTTTACCTGTTTAACATTTAAAGTAGTTTAGCTGATCTAGTTAATGCTTGTATTTTTTTTTTCCGGCAAATCAATAAGTTAATCCTCTGTTGATCTTTTATATTGAACTTCTTTTTCTCAGTATTTTATGGATGAGTGTATGGAAAGACTCATTGATATCATTGAATCAAGGAACGATCTGAAAAACTTGATACCTAGTGAGCGGGTAGCAAAGCTTGTAAGAATTCGCTTGGAAATGCAAACCCCTTACATATCAAAATGGCCACAAGCTCTCAGTATACAGGTACTTATCTCCTTCTTTTAATGCCCCTTTCTTGTGTGGTGGGTATGTATACAATGAGCAGAAGTGTTTCAGATAACAACTACTGATTGTAGGCTCAACCCTTGAATGTTCCAACAAGCTTCAAGCAGCGTGCCATGCTGGTTGATGAGATATGGCATGCTGTTGGTGATGATGCCAACGAAATTGATTGGTATGTGAAGCGCACTGTTCTAGGTGGAATATACTCCACGACAGAACTATACATGTTGACAGATAGCTCTCCAGGTGTGCCATTGTAACTGCTGTGTATTTTGTCCTATGCTTGTTCTTCTCTTGCGATCCTTCTAATATTATGGTATGTCTTATTAAAATTTTAACATTCAATTAACAATCGAGCTCCTTTATAATCCTAACATGCCCCACTGTCAACAGTTCTTCCTGCTTCCTACTCCTTTGTTGTCATGGAAGTCATAGAACTGGAAGGAAGCCTCTCAGGTTATTAGAAATTATTCATACTCCTTGTTTCGCCAAATCACTCTTTAAATTACAGAAGAAAGCATTTTTTTTGTGTAGGAGGCATGAGAACAGAAGTAACTCTCGGGATAATAATTCCGCAAAAGATGCACTCTTGCTGGTGCCTTAGTTCATTAAACTGAAGTTACCAATAGAGGACATATTTTGCAATAGCAGTGTTGTACCTGTGGGAATATATGAAATCTATGCACTTAATCCTAAATGAATGGCCAACTTTTTGGGTCATCCCATGATATTGCTGGCATAAAGTATTTAAGATAATATATGCTATAAATTTCGTATAAGGCATCCACTAATACATTTTAACATACAATATTTTATCAACCCAATCCTAAAAATTCAAATGTAAATTATGGACCCAACATGTCACTTCCCCAACTCTTGTATTGTGCCAAGTGAAGAACATGACATGTTCCCTTGTTAGAAAACACGACTCTCCCGCCACAGCACGTGATGTGTGGGTTAGGCACATGTCACGGATTTGAACCCTGCTGCAAACAAAAGCTTGGTACTTGAGTGGAGAAGTTCTGATTCGTCGTATAAAGTAGATGAGATATTATATGTAATAAACACTGTATGGGGCATCAATAATACACTGTAATGACAAAATTTTAAGATATGCAATCCTAAAAATAAAGAATGTAATATTCGGACCCAACATGTCGCCTATCCAACTCTCTGAATACTTTCAAGTAGAAAACAGGACACTTGTGACAATCAAAATAAAACAATAAATGACACTTGCTCCGGAAGGAGTATTTGGTATGAGTTCCTCTTATGGTACATTGTTGTGACAATTTTGCTCTCACTAGCTATGTATTACGTGTTGCATATTTTTCAATAGAAATTACTTTGGAGGGTCCTCTGCGAGACATTATCTGTTGGATTAGGGATCTTTTGGTGAAAGGATGTAAATACTAATGCTGTTGCCAAACAAAAGAAATTCTTTTTCACATTCAACCATGAGAGGGCAACTTGAGCAATCAAAGCTACGCCCTCTTCCACTGCTGACTATGAACAGTTGACAGCTAATGATTTCTACTTTACTAAGCCAGTTCGGTAAGTTAAGGTCCATGCTTGAAACGAAAAAAAAGAGGAAGGGGAGGGGGTCGTAAATGATATCTAATGGGATGGGCATGCTCCCCACTGCTCTGAGGTCACACCTCATAACAGATATCCCAAAAGATATGGATTTCATTTGAATTTGGTGCTTTCCAAGAATCTAAGCTTCATGAAGACAACTTTGCCTGTCATCATTTCCAAGTTACCTTGCAGCAACTTTTGATCCTGAAGTAATACCCTCCATGGGTAAATCTTCTTCATTTACTCTTTGGTTTAGAGCCATTGTTGAAGCCTAAATGCCTCCAATCCTCTGATAATTAGTTGGGTAGCTAATATACCATACAAAAGTTCCCTTGTGAGGAGCCTATATTGAAACACTTGCCACTTTCGCCAATAATTTGTGTGTTCAGAAAAGTCTGTCTGTCTTCTATTTGTGGGATTAATTGTTTATGTTTCTGTTGACAGATTTTCGTGATACATGGGCATTCTTGGATGCACGAACAAAAGATGCATTTGATCTGAAGAAGACTGCTCAAGAGGTATTTTGCTGCTAATGTGATTTTGTTTTAAAAGGAATGTGTACTAGGATTTCAGAGTATTGGTTCTGACTTCTGAGAATAATCTGCAAACAATTTTGCAGGCACAACGTTTGGCGGAAGCAGTTGGTGCAGGAATGGGAGGCTCTGTACAAGGTTTTATGAAGAGGGTCTTCACAGGCTGAATATAGTTTGCAGTGAGTAATATGATCTTATAGGTGTGGTGGTTCACAAAATAAAAATTATAATTTGTGTCTATCAGCAGAAATGCTAATTTAGATTAGCAGTATTCGATGGGCATCCGGTTGCCATTTTGGCGTTAGAATATGCTTGTACATGAGAATATCTTTTGTTGGCAAAATATGCTTCTTTCCCTTTTCTATTTTCCTCTGGATAGTCAAGAAAACCCCATATGCACTTATTGGGAATGAAAAATTCCATCTTTATCTGATAGAAAATCAAGAAAAGTTGTGAATTCGTCTTTTTGTTGTATTTCAGGGTTTGTTTGATTTCTTGGAAGATCTCTTTTAGGGATATAGGTTTTGGTTTTAGTCCATTGATCAAGTTTTATTATGCTTCCTTTCATAAATCATACCTTGTATGTTATCAACAATGATACTTTCAATGAAATACAAAAAAAAACACATGGATATACATTCAATAGCGTGCATACATACATGTAACATAAGTCCATTTATGATGCATACACTCTAACTGAAATACAAATACAGTTTGTTCAACAAAATTATATGCGTTGATATAACTTGGTTTGAGCAAACAAATACATTGAATTCAAGCGTGGAATACAACAAAATTGCGCGATTATAGGTATTCGTTGAATGAGTAGTACCAACGATAAAAATAAATTAGTTTTGTATGGTTATTTATTTCAAAAATTTGGCTAGCATTTAACCTTGTTTGATTGGTTGTTGGTATTCGCTGATGATCCCACTTGTCAACGGAATAAGTTTTTGTCATACTTCTCATGAAATCAAAGTTCTCTCTTCCTACCAGTCTTGTATCCTCAAGACTTAGTTATGATACAAACACATATGTACCACACCATAATGAGTCCTAAGTGTCTTACATTTATTGTCTATCACATTCCCACGAAGGACAATAACAACAATAATATACCAGTGTAATATGACAAGTGGGGTCTGGAGAGGATATGATGTACACAAATCTTACTCCTATCTTTCTGAGGTAAAGAGATTGTTTTCGATAGACCCTTGGCTCAAAAGGAGTGAAATCAAAGTTGGACTGAAAAGAAAATTACGACTACTATATAAAAAGATGAACAAAGCAAAAGAAGCAACAAAGAGTGGTAAAAATTAAAGAATAAGATACTACATGAATACTAACAAATGCTACTAAATAAGGAGAAGATGAGCAGAGGAGACTAGCCCCGGCCTTTCCTACAAAAAGTATGACAACGCTTAGCTATCTACTTCCCTTCCACCCTAATTCTTGACCTTCCAACCTTCCTATCTAGGATCATAACTACTTCCTTCATATCTTCAGTAAGCTGAAAAAAAGTTATGTTTTGTCCAATCATATCCCCCTTAGTTTTTCTTCAGCCTCTCTCTACCTCTCCTAAAACCTGTTATAGCCAACCTCTCACCCTCCTTATTAGTGCATTTGTGCGTAGGGATGGCAATGGGGGCGGGGCAGGGCGATTGCAGGGCAAACCCGCTTAAACCCACTAAAATTTCTACCCGCCCCGCTCCGCCCCACCTAGCATGATTTGTTGTTTTCAACCCGCCTCGCCCCGCCCCGCCCTATCCTACATAATTTGTTAAAAAACTGAATTTTGTCGAGTGTTAATGCTAAATTACATGTTAGCCTAGCATTAAAATGCAAGTTTGCCTTTATAGTACTCTTCTTTTAAGCATGTCAATAACCTTTTTTTTTGTAGCTTTGAATTAGTACATCTGATTTAATAAACAAAAAATTAAAATGCAAATAGTAACATAATTTTTTCTTCTTTCTAACTTTCTGGCCATTCGAAAAAAATTCATAAATATTCAGTCAGTTGCAAAACTGATACAAAATTTGTGTGACAGCGAATTAAAAGATTTTTTTAGCCCTAACCCGCAACCGCCCCGCTCCACATAAATTTTGAAAAAATATATTTAAATCCGCTCCGACCCGCTCCGCACCCGCAAAATCTCTAACCCGCCCCGCTCCATTGTCATCCCTATTTGTGCACCTTCTCTTCACATGTTGGAACCATCTCAGTCTCGCTTGCTCATCTTGTCCACCACAGAGGTCACTCATCTTATCCTGTATAACTTCATTCTTAATTATATCTCTCCTAGTATGCCACACATTTGTCTGCGTATCCTCATCTTTTGGATGTGAGTGTTCTTGACTAGCCAACAATCTTCCCCATACAATTCCACACGAGGGAAACCAAGGCGAATCCAATACAAGATCAAGAATTAGTGGATTCACGGTGAGTGTAATCTTATTATATATATACATTTAAATTTTTCATTCTCCATGTATATACATCATTCTAGCCGAAGACAATAGGTTTAGTTGAACCGCAGAACCCACCATAAGACCACTCGCTAGCGCTGTTGGAAACGATTTCAACTCATCAATGAGCCAAGTGTTGAAATTCCTAGGATAACAGTAATAGTTCTCTGAATCCAATAATCATGAGTATAGCATTTTCAGTATTACTCTCTCCACATCCTTGATATTAGGTACCTCAAACACAATCTGCACCACCTATGTGTGACGAGAACCAGAACCTTCATTATTTCTATCGTTCAAACCTGCAAGATATGTTTTCAATTTCTCAAAATATGCACATGCCAAAAGTACCATGTGCACCCAGAAATAATAGTTCTTTAACTACAAACATCACACTTGCATAATATTTCAAATTCTAATACGAAATGTAGCACACAACATATAGTATGTCTATTCAAAACAACGTTCCACCATAAATTCCATAAAGACACAAGGGAATCACCACAGATATTTCTATCACCAATTCTGCAGTGAAAGAATAACTTCGTCAGGAGGAAACAATGTAAGGAAGGCATGCAAGCATGCATATCATTGAATAAAAGAGAGAATGCCCATGGAATCAGTGGCTAGACCAGGATTTAATACAACGGGATTCAATAAAGTTAAATTTGGGATTTGAACATGTGAGCTAAAGCAATTTTTGAACCTCTTTGTCCCTTGCTAGAATTTTTCTCATGTCAAGGGAATTCAAAATTTCAACAGCTTCTATATAACCAAAAATCTTGTTCCAACACTATTTGGATAGTATAACCAAAAAAACTTGTTTTAACTTCTCCAAGCTAGCTCCACCACTGTGTGCAATATTCTTCCATCTCATAATAAGTTAAAAAAATGGACTAAAATATAAATAGAAGAGGAAACCAGATAATTCTATCCATAGCTTTCAATGCTTAAGAAAGAGAGCCTTCCTCAGTTGCAGCGATCATTTGCACAAGCATTGATTGTAATTCTTATTTATTTAAAAGCCTAATAGTAGCCAAGAGAAAAAAAGGCTTTTGAGATGTCCTGTATCAATTCCTTGTGTAATCTACATGTTTAGGGATTAAAGAATTTGATAATGAGGAATATGACTACAAGTAACTTGATGACCTCAATTGGCAAGTAAAAATGGCTATCTGACACAAAAAGATGGATGAAACTGATAGGACCACCAAATAAGTGCCTTCCCTGAGTCAAGAAAATTGATCTGAAGAGCCTACTCAGCAAACAGTTATTCTAACAGGTATCTACTGCCCACCTGCCCCACCATGGTCTGTTGCTTAGCTCTTCCTTCTGAAACAAACTAGACAGGTATATTTTCAAAGCAAATGATACAGCAACATAAGATAGGTTAATAACTAGCATAATACAGAGCTAAAGTAGTGCCTCTTGCAATCAATCATGTCAGTCACACAGGTTGCTGGATGACAGAAAACAGATCAAGCTGTCAAAGAAAGGAGAAAAGGAAAGAAACAGATCAATGTGGCGAATCGTGCCCAATGCTTTCAAGTAAAAAAGTTTACCTTTTCTCCCAATATGCCTTGGAGCTTCCTAAGTTTCTGTTGCCACTTGATCAGTTTCATGTTCACCCTGTGCTTACATGAATCAATAGCTTATCAGGTCTAGAGGACGGTGAATATCGTGAAAAGTTTATCAGAAAAGGAGACATGAGTTTCTGATAGTTTTGAACTACGAGGAAGATGCCTAATGAATTTCACTTCCACTAGTCCTTTCAAAATCATAGATATCCTATGCAGATCTCTAGCACCAGAATATCTTTATTTTATCAGTAAAAGTAGAAGATATGATGTACCTGATTTGAACTCTGTTTAAACATAAGTACTATTCACCTTCACCTACATTTTTAGTGAACCTGACTATCTTAACCCATTCTCAAGCGGCGAATTTTCTTTGCCAGTAAGTTTAAACTAATATGAAGCTATGAACTAGTATCATTTTAAGCATGAGATCAAATCTCTTGAACTTCTTATCCAACTCAAATGCAATAATATGATTCTACTTCATTATCTTATTAGTATATCTTGACAGAAGAAATCTCAGGATAAAATACTTCATAAGAACAAATTTATCAAAAATATAGTTCGATAAAAAAAGATAAGAAACAGCAATATTTGCTCTTTTCTTTTCTTTTTTTACAGAAAAAAGAGAGTAGAATATTTAATTAAAACTCATAATGTGTTCTTCAAAAGGAACCACAATTAAGTTCTTGTTCACATTGAAATATCTTTATGGACACTGCATCACAAACATTTTTATATCCCTAGCACCAAAAAGAAATCAAAGAAGAAAAAAACAGTAATTCAGATGAAGCTTTGAAGTTTGAATGTGGGCATCCATAATAATTTTCTTCAGGAGAAAAGGAAACTTGCATCAGCTGATAACGATGCAGAGATTACACATATGCACACAGTTTCTGGGCTTAATGGTGAAACCAATTTGTCTGAGATAAAAATTACGGGTAGAATAAGCAAGTCTTCAGGAAAGATCTTATTATAAAAAATTGTATTGATCTCCAAAGAGAACAATAGTTATATCCATATGATTTTGAAATACTCATAACAACAAAGAAGAATCAGTAAAATAATTGAATTACATACAAAAGTATGGTTCACATGTAGGTTAAAACTCAATCACCAGTAGTCACCGCAAGAACAAGTGCCGTTCTTGAATCGATGAAACCTGCTGGCATCCCTAATAACAATTTCTCGTTTAGTAATCATGGCTATCAACTTAATTGCATTGTGGCAATTGTTGCAAATCCTATGACTCTGAACAAGTTGCAGTGAGGTTGAACTAGACGTGCTTATGAGCCCAAAAGATATTGCCAACTTTTCACTGTGATAATGTGGTGATTTTTGTTCCTGTTCATCTACGTCGGGTAGTAAGGTTTTCCCCCCCGTAACATAGCCATACTTAGAGATCTCCAGCATAAGCTCGTCCACTTTTTCATATATCTCCTTGGTTTGCACATGGCACTTATCTCCAGACAGGAAAACATGTGGTTGCTTCTTTATTTCTATCCATGTGCATGCAGGCTTTATTCTGAGTCCTTTTCTCTTCAATGTTTGAACAACTGCAGCAGCTTCATCTTGCTTGCCTGAGCTGTTATAGATATTCAAAAGCATCACATAGTTGCTGAGTTTTTCTGGTTCCATTCCATAAAGTTTCTCAGCTGCAAATTTTCCTAGCTCAAAATTCTTGTGGACTCTACAGGCTGTCAGTAAGGCTGCCCACATATTTATAGTAGGCCTAAAAGGAGCATCCCTGATTAACGCAAAAGCTTCATCTAAAAGCCCTTCTCTACCCAACAATTCAATCATACATGCATAGTGCATTGCTCTAGGCTTCACCTTGTAATCTCTACTCATTGATTCAAATATTTCCCACCCATAATCTGATAAACCTGAATAGCGACATGCAGATAAAACAGCCAAAAAAGTAACATGATTGGGCATCATTCCTTCGTGAACCATACGCTCAAATAGTTCAACAGCCTCAATCCCTCGGCCATGATTACCATATCCACCAATTAAGGCATTCCAAGAAATAACATTCTTTTGGGGCATCCCCTCAAAAACATTACGAGCATCTTCTATCCTCCCCCATTTGATATAGAAATCCACTAATGCTGTATTGGCAACAATATCTAATCCAAATCCATGTCGAACTAGCCCAGCATGAGCTTGTTTAGCATGCTCCAGTGAAGCTAATCTCGTGCAAACTCTAATAATGATTGAAAATGTGAAGTGATCCATTTTGACACCAGCATCTCGCATCTCATAGTACAAACATAAAGCCTCCTCACTATAGCCATGGAGAGCGTAACCAGCAATAATCGTATTCCATCCTACTGTGGTCTTCTCTGGCATATTATCAAAAACAAACTGAGCATCCTCTATGCTACCGCACTTGCTATACATATCAATTAAAGCACAAGATATAAAACGATTGTCACCTTCCCCCATTTTCAAAGCACAAGAATGCAATTGCTGTCCCAAAGAAATAACCTCTAATCCAGAACATGCTCGAATCATCGTCGCAAATATCCGAGGATCAGCAGCAGAATTCTCTTCCCACATCATAAAAAACAATCTAAACGCCTCCAAATAATCCCCCAAATCAACTAGCCCTCCAACCATTGTATTCCAAGAAATCGAGTTCCTCTCAGGCATATCATCAAATATGCTACGTGCATCTAACATCATCTTACATTTGACATGCATAGACAAAACCCTGTTCCATAAATACTGGTCTAATACCAATCCAGAACTAACCATATGATTATGCACCCGCTTAACCCCTCTAATCGACCTTAACCCAATACAGGCAGTTATCAAAGCATCATACGTGCTACTATCTAACTGACAATCACCTTCACACTCTAACAGCTCAAAAAAATCAAGAGCCTCATGATACCTCTTATGAAAAACTAGCTTCTCTATTTGAGCACTAATCCCTGAACCTGGATCCCCAATTTGGTTTACTTTTGAAATGGTTTCTTCACATAAATTTTCCTCCCTCTTGGAAGGTTTCATCATGGGTCTTGGCTTTATAAACCCATGTTCAGAAAGAGAAGCTCTAATCTGAGAAAACACATTTCTATACCTTTTCTTGCTGAATAAGGAGCAATTCCCAGAAAGGACAAGTCTTTCCTGCAGAACATGAGGGTCTGTCAAGAAAGCCGCATACCTACAACTGTTCCGTAACTGATCCAGCGGCAATGATATGTCCATGTTCAAGATTATAGAACACCAAAAGCCGATAAAGGGTGTTTTAAAAAATCAATTAGAGATACAGTTACCTCCAATTCTTGAATCAAATTTGGAGAAATTGAGCATCAATCAACCATACCTTGCATGAAAACTTTCCGTCAGTTCAGTTCAGTGCTAGTGATAATGGTGAATTTGCTGATCTCCTCAACCAATTCCGCAAGAATGTTGGAATGAAACAGAAACCTTACAAGTGTTTTTGAGAAGGTAAATTGGTTGTTTTCGATATTGTTTTTCAAAGAGGGAAATCGATATTGGCAGCTTCGGGAAATCCGCCGCTTTTGTTTATATTTGTTTTTCTTTTTCGCCTTTGGGACGTTGGACTTGGGTAGTTGATAGTTGGTAAGAGATGAAGGAAATATCGTAACCTCTCTATGCTTTTTCAAACTTTGGGCTTAGTGATTGGGCTCATTACCATATTAGCCCATTTCAAGAAAAGGGTATAGAGAAAATTTCACAAAAAAGTGGCATCTCGCCTCTAGAAGCAGAACCCCGTATTTCTTCTAGAGAATTTTCTAATTGTTTCAGAGTAACTAAAAAAAGATAATTTAACTAGAAAGAATTTGGTTTAGATGCAGGATAACTATTGAAAAGTTTTTGCAACTTAATCATAGATGATGAAATCATCAAAGATTTGACATTTCTGAAGATCTTTTCCTTCTCTTCGGGATCGAACATCAATTGCAACGATTCATTGAGATAAATGTAGATGAACAACAACCCCCCATCC